GCCAGACAGACAGAGAGAGACATAGAGACAGAAAGCGAGAAATCACCCCCCAGGAGGGATGGTCACGCTGCAATCCCTTCTCCTCCATTCTCCTCTCGGGATCTTGGGCACGCACGCACACGCGCCCGGCGTGAGTTTTAAGCCACCGGGTCCGGGACACGAACCACGGTCGACTACGTGGGAGTCCAGCGACATAGCCATTACGCTAACTGCTGGTTCCCTAAACTTCAGATTTTTTAAAATTTTTATCATTCTACTTGACTATCCCTCTCCTGTTCCTTTCAATATGAATATTTTGGCATGAGGCTCTGAAACTAGTTCCTAAATTTCGTATGTATAATGTTTCTTTGAATCACTTGATTGCCTTCTTTCTGACTGAACTAAAAATATCCCCCAGAACTCATTTTGAACTAAACAAATGTGAACAAAGAGGTAAAATATTTTATAACATGCTGGTGGCTCTTATTCTCTACATTTTAAGAACTGAACTGTAGTTGATGCTATTTCATTCTTCACTGTTCACAGTCTGGAGGAAGAATTATGTTAAATATTCAGCTTGCAAAGTGTTTTATTTGGCTTACTGAAATTTTAATAATTGTTTTTAATCTTGTTCTCTTTTGTTTAAAAACATTATAGTTAAAAAGCCTTTTTTCTGTTTAAAGTAATTTATATTACCTTAGAATTCAGTGTTCTTAATGTGTCGATTCTCTTGTCTTACTCTGTAGTCAAGCATAACAAACGTGTTCCTCCTAAAATATATTTAAGAATTTCCAGTAGTTGCAAGGTCAGCTGTTCATTGTCACTAAAGAATTATAATCAGTAAGGTGTGTGCTTTTACTGAAGCAGTTGGAAAAAAGAGACTAGATATAAGCCATTATTGCTTATTTAAAGTATGTCGTCAGTTTATCTGTGAGTCTTACTCTGGCCAAACTCAGTTCAGTTCAGAAAAGGCCCTTAGTCCAAACGACCTACTTACCCTCTCCTGTAGGGGGAATATATGTGAGAAAACAACCAAGATGGAAAATATGGCTCAGAGCCCAAGTCTTTCAGAACAGTCCACCCACGATGAATGAGAGGAGTTAGAAAACCTCAGAGTAAAGCTCTGTCATGGTTTGCTTTCTTATGAGGTGGATATGAATACATGAATACATGCCATCTTTAACATAAAATGAGTTTTGGTGTTTTTATAAGTGTTTGTAAATGCTTTCTACATTGTCAGTGTGTAAAAATACTATTTTAAAACAGTAAGGTGTTAAATAGCGTCCTAGTTATGGTAGTTACTGTGAATAGTTTCTATCAGGGAGAAGTGGTTTTACTACCGCCCTGATGCGGATGCTCACCTCCTTAGCACCAGAGTGCCTTTGATATTTTTGTTTACACATGTGGCCTTTGTGAGGAAGAATGATGAGAGGCTGTTAAACATTTAAGCTATCTATTTTTTAGTTTTTTTCTTCTTTTCAACCCCAACAAAATGAGGCTGCCCAAAACCACCAGTGTTTCACAGGGTCTCTGCCTGAAGCTGTCAGTGTGACACCTGGAGTTGCCATTGTTGCTGGGAACACACCTTTTTCCTGCTTGACTGTCCCAAGAGCAGGCCAGGCAGTCCTAAGAGCCAGGTAGTGCCGACGTTGTACACAGGCCCTCTGCAGAGTTAAGCTATCCCAGTCGTCCTCGATTCCCGTCTGCCTAGAGTTTCTGCGGCCCTTCCCAACCTTGTGATTTATGACTGCGGGTTGTTAACAGAATGTCTGTGAATTAGACTGGTGATCTGTTTTGTACCTACCTTCAGACCCGTTGAAAAGAAGAAACCTGGCAGAGTGGTAACCTTGTGCATTCTGACCATTTTCATATAAGTTATCAAGCATCCTAAAAAGGAGTTTCTCGGTGCTAATTTGAACAGTGTGTGGAGTTCCTCAGCCTGATAGTTTTGCCTTATAGTTTTAAAACATAACTCTAATATTTGCTGAAGATGTTTATATCCAGCACAGGCATATACAGATTCTCTTTTTAATATATATGTTTAATGTGTTTTTAATTCTTTCTATATAAGAAATGAGTCCATGTATTTTTTATTCACACATCATATTTGATAAAATTATTCTAATGTGATTATGATGAGAGATATTCTACGTATTAGGTCATCTGGAAAGTCATGACATATTGTTCTGTTTTTCTATGCAAAAATGTGTCATGACTTTCCTGACAACCCAATAGTTTTAATAAAACTAGCAAACCTAGGCAGTTAAACATCAGAATTTTTATGATCATGCAATGATAAAGTTTAGAATTTTTGCATATTTACTCATACCTAAATTTATCAAACAGGTTTATTTTTTACAGACACCTACTCATAATATGATCGCCTCTACATACACAAGAAGAAAGAATACTTCAGAGTCTCTTGTCCTGCCTCTTTTTCTTCTCCTATTCCACCTTTCTAAACATACAATAAAGTCATGGAATAAAATGAATTTGTACGTGTTGTAGGCCCTTTAACCATCAGCTGCCTTTTGACTGGAAGAACGGTGGAAATGGCATTAACACCCTGTTTCATTGTCTTGAAGTGACACATTGGGATAACACCGCTAGTATGCCGTCAGCCGCAGCCCTGGAAGATAAGAAACCTGCTCTCTGTTGTCTCATTTGTGGTTTCAGTAGTTTAATTCATTCACTGATATTATTCAGTGTCGGTTTCTTTTCTAGAAGTATAATGCCAAGTGTTTTGAACTAAGACTTATAGCAATTTTTAAAAACTTATCAACTGTATATAAAATGATAGCCCACTAAGTCATCCTCTTTATCATGTTCTGTATCCAGTAACTATTCATTGTGATCGTTTAGTTTATGTTTGCCATATGAAATAAAACAGAAAACTCCTTCAAATGGGTTAATTTGGATTATAACAGTCGAGTGCAATTCAGTGGAAGAAATTTCAACCCTTCATTGACAGCTTAGAAATCCGCCTTGGAAGCCAAGTGAGCAGTACTTCACCTGCCTGCCCGAGCTGCCACGCCATCCTCTGTGCACTCGTCAAAATCAGTACACTTGGGGTGCTGTACAGTGATGGTAGGCTTCCTGTTGACACTGGGTATTTTTTCCTGTTGGCAAAGCCACTGTATTATGACACGGGATGGAAAAAATTAGGAAGTCAGTTGACCGACTTCATTTAAAATATTAAGTATTTCAACGAGGAACCAAGAAAAGGCTTTCTTCTGTTAAAAAACTCTTTCAAATAGAAGTTATTCCAGCAGTTGAAATAATAACCAACCCCCTCTTAGCTAAATATTTAAAATTTAGAGTTTGATCCATTGCAGTTAGTAACCCACTTATATTTTCATGTTTTATATAAACATTTTTTACCGGCTGAAAGACTTAAAAACAAAAAGTATAACATTTTTTACTTAAAATATCTTGTTCATTTACTACTTTTTCATTAAGGCTTTATTATACTAATAAAAATGCCCATTGTGTGACCATTTTTAATTTACTCTTTACTGAAGACATTATCTTGGGCTTTTTGTTTTATTTTGGTTAACAAATTCCTTGCCAACACCCAATTTTTTTTTGATCAGTACATTCTTCATTGTGATCCCTCAAAATCTGACATCTAATATGTGAGGTTGGAGAGTACCACAGAATATTTCAGAAGCCAGGAAGCCAGCAGGTGTTTGTCTTATACTGCTTGGTAAGGAGCGGAGATCAGTTTTAAGCGGCTAGTAGCGTATGTGCTGTTATCTGGTAGACGGGCAGTCTAGAACCTTGAGTTTCTTTTAGGGCTGGGGGCAGGTGAGCAGAGAGGGGGCAGGTGAGCAGAGAGGGGGGAGAGTGCGCAGAGGGAATAGAGCTTCGTAGTGCTCCATACGGAGTCTGGAGAGACCCTCAGATTCCGCCCTCAGCCAGTGCGGGTGGGTAGTTACAAACCCCCTCACTGAGCAGACATCCTGTAATGTTAATGAATATTTTTGCAAAGAAAGAACAGGAAGTAGAACCTTACTTATTTTTATGAACTATAGATGAAAAAAAAAAATACCATGATCTGTATTTCGACAGATTTCTCCCAAGCAAAAGGCAGATATTTAGTCAGTACTTTTATCTCTTCCTTTTGTATAAATCTTAAGTTTCTTTGAGATCAGTATTGTGACATACAAATAGATGATGAAAGTGAATATTATTAAAAGTCCCACGTCAGAGTTCTGACATCCTCCCCATTCGCTTCTTTTATGGATTTTGTTTCTCTTTTAGCCGATCTTATCCTAAGCATGCTTTTATTTTCTTAAAAGGTAGATCTTTATAAAATACAGATGTAACTGAAAGAGAAAAATAAAATTCAGAGTCTCAACAGTAAACTCTGTTGTATCTGTAGTTCAGAAATTAGAAATGATTCAAATTTAAACTAAAAAAAAAAAACCTTACAATATTCAATATACATATAGGAGTTAAATTTTAATTAGACAAAGAATCTTTGTTTCTCATGTCAGAATTTGCAAAGAATGGAGTGAACAAAGCTTTATATGGGATTCCAAATAATTGTAAATAGATTGTATCCAAAATTACTTTGATCGGGATATCCACTTTTAAAAAACAGTGAACACGGGCAACGCACAGTAGGACAGAAGTGGTTTTCACTGTTTCGCAGTTGACCCAACCTCACCGTACTTACAGGTGGGGCGGTCAGACTTTCTAGTGTTAATTTTCTTCTCTCTCCTTTGTGTCACCCTCATTAATTTTCTTCTCTCTCCTTTGTGTCACCCTCATTTTCCAGGCTTCATTCTGAGGGATTCCTTCCCACACACAGATTATTTAGCCCCTACATGTAAATAAATGCTGTACAAATGAGTAGGAAACATTGCAGAGACGGGTGCATCCTAACCTTGTAATTTGGGAATTTTATATATATGAGATTCACAGTGTAGGTTTAAAAGAGAAGTTCGTTGACTACTTAAAATTTTTTTAATTTATTTATTTTAGACGTGTTTGAGAAAAAGAAGTATGATATTTTCACTTTCCAATACAGGGGATCAAAGTAATGGTATTTATCTGTGCTCTACGCTGGTGTGCCTGCCAGTTCTAGGTACTTGAGCAGTATGGAAATGTGCTTACTACGCTTACCTCCGAATGATCATGGCTATGTGTTGTTTAAATATTTAAAACTTACTTGGTTTTCACGTGTGCACTATGAATGAACTTTGTATTATTTTTTAAAGAACCTTCACATGACATGTAGACATTATTGCAACTTATATTTTGCCTGTGCTTAACCTGAAGTCATTTGTGTAGGTGGATAATTAAAAGATATTTAAATCTCACTATAATTCTATTATTGGAGAGCATCTTTTAAGTTTTCCGTTTTAATGAGGGAGAGACAGAAACCTGTGTACCTAGGGTCATTATTTGACCCTCCCGTATAAACGAATTTGTGATCTCACCACCTCTTAATATGCCTCTTCTTTGAATGCGTGAATTTCAGATGCTTTGCATTTCCCAGATGTTATCTATAGTCAACCAGTGCTGGTGTTTTTGGTCCCTCCCACACACATCTTGGTCCTTGTCGAGACATTTTGATATTTTATTTTTTATTTGGTAAAATACACAAAGTGTTTTCTAAGTGCACGTTGCTGCCATTGCCATCATTTTCTTTTTTTCTTTTTTTTTTCTGGAGAGGTTTTTGCTATAGGGCACGTGCGCTTGCCAGACAGAGAGACAGAGAGACAGAAAGCGAGAGAGCACCCCCAGTGAGGATGGCCACGCCGCAATCCCTTCTCCTCCATTCTCTCGGGATCTTGGGCACGCACGCACATGTGCCCGGCGTGAGTTTAAGCCACCAGGTCTGGGACTCAAATCGCAGTCGACTACATGGCAGTCCAGTGACATAGCCATCACACTAAGTGCTGGTCCCCCATTGCCATCATTTTCATTAATGATGCTAATATGTTCAGTCATGTGTGAGGCTTACTAAAAGGTAGGAACTGAGTCACAGAACCAGAAGGAACTGTACCGATTACTTAATTCAATCTAACACTTGATTATAGACTCTTGTTACTCAGTTTTTAAATTCCTCAGAACTTGCTTATAAATGATGCTAAATACTTGTGGACTGTTAGCTATGTAGAGTGTAGGTGTTCCTTCTCCAAGATTCGGACACAGCTAAAGTCAGAACTGGGAAAGGACTCCAAATCAGGACTGCTCCAGTAAGCAGGACCCAGTAGCTGCAGACTGGTATGTTTCCGATCGGTCCATGTCAGTAGCCTTCTTTGTAGTCCCTCTAGAAGGTGCACAGGCAAAAACGAGTTACATCATCACTTACTTTCCAGATCAGTACTGAGACCAGTCCTACTTTAAGTCCTGAAAAATAGTTACATTTTTAAATATTTTTGTTCTGTGTGCAATTCAAGTTTAAAGCTTTAATATATCAAAAGAAGTTACTAAAAATTTACTAGAACTTGTTTTCTTTTAGCTTATTCCAATTGAAGAATTAACCTTATCAAACCAAAGTAGCTCTACCATATTCTTAGAGATAATACAGGTGTATTATTTACATTTTTAAAATGTGTTTTAAATGATTCCCCAGTTTTTGTTCAGCATATATTAGACTCTGATGATAAATAATGAAAACTTTAGGGTCAAGACGAGTACAGTAAAAAATGGCTAAGAGTTCAGAAGCAGGACAGTATGAGAAAAGTTCGGTGGGGGCAGTCTTTGCCTACAGAGGTGGTTAATATTCCAAGGGCGGGAAACCTGCAAACGGCATCAGGTAAATCTGTCCTGCAGTGACAAAGTGGAGTTGCTAGCTTGAAAACTAGTGAACTCTGATCCCTGCCGGAAGACCTGTGAGCCATGTCATGTTCCGTAAGGCCAATATAAAAATTCCTTTGGGGTCAAGTCACTGGCAAAGTAGCTACTATTTTTAAATGTTTCAAAAATCGTTTTCTTCATTCTTTGTAGTAAAAACTTATTGTTACTGGTTTTTTTTTAATCTGTTAACCCAGTTATTATGCAATGTTTAAGAAGACCAAAATATTACCTTTTGTGTTTTTTTTAAGAGGTTTTTGCTATAGGGCGCATGCGCGCGCCAGAAAGACAGAAAGAGACAGACAGAAAGTGAGAAATCACCCCTCAGGGGGGATGGCCACGACCCAATCCCTTCTCCTCCATTTTCCTCTCAGGATCTTGGGCACGCACACACATGCCCCGCGTGAGTTTAAGTCACCGGGTCTGGGACTCAGTCTGCGGTCTGCTACATGGGAGTCCAGCAACATAGCCTTTACGCTCACTGCTGGTCCCCGAAATACCTTTTTTTAAAAAGGTAGGCCACAGACTCCAGTGAAGAACCCATTACACCGCAGTATACCACCAGCAGCCTCCCACAGAGCTTTGCCTTGCGGTTTTGTTAAGAGTGCAAGTTACTCTCCTTCATATTCAATGAGTCTCCGTCCCACTGCTTACTCTTGCAGTTATTAAATAAATTACAGGGCAGGAACATGGAAATCAGAATTTTCTCCACTTGTCAAAAAATATGACCATGGTTTACAAGGGCTAGCACCTGACAAAAGCTCCCAAGACTGGTGTTTATGAGAGAATATGAAGGAATGGGTGAACTGTCTTCCTGAGTGCTGAGGTGTGTCAGCATTAGGCCAAATCACCAGAAAGCAATATGGCTGGTAACTTCCCTCTCTCTTCGACATCCTGCCTCACCGTTCACAAGTTCTGTACGATGCACCTGTTTGTCTGAAGAAGCTGCACCGTGTCTTGATTGCAGAGGGCTAACCTAATGACACGTTGGTTATCACTTAAACTCATTGAAGTAAGGATTACTGGATAATTATGTGCCAGCAAAATTTCCTGACCAAACGTACCTGCATACTGTTTCCCTTCTGACGGTGAGAACTCTAGGCCTTACCAGTCTCTTTGGTTCAGCTGCCAGGAAACGCTGAAATTAATTTACCTTCCTAAGGGCCGCTGCCAAGGTCTTAGCAGGACTCGGGACACTGCAAACAAGTATGCTGTAACTCACTTTTGGCATGGGTGGGGGGGGGGTCTATCGAGAAACCACCCTGAAGCCTTTTTATGATCGTGGTTCCACCCCGCCAACAATTAGTCCCATGAAACTTACTTAGTTTTTCTTTTAAATGCTGGAGCTAGTAAGATAACTTAAATCCAGAGCAACGAAACCCCCAACAGACTGATGCTGAGGCCCACCCTTATCCTCAGCCAGCCCTGGGTCAAGAGCAGGCGCGTGTCCAATGTCCTCGGGAGGCCCACCGCTGTTGAACTCAGGACCCTCCTGTGTGGGGCAGCCTTAGAGTGCTTCCATCCTGCCTCAGACTCCAAAAAATTTTAAGTAACAACATGAAGTCATTCTGGTGAGTAGCAAAATCCAAAATTTGGAAGTCTAAAGCCTTTGTATCAGAACATCCCTAAAATATACTGCCTCTAAAAATACTCAGGAAAATGAACATATTTATGGTGTTCAAAGCACAGTGGGACTTGTGGTACACCTAGAATGTGCAAGGGCGTGTTTATGTCCTAAGGGAAACAGCCCAGGAGCCTTCCTCTAACCACAGAAGGCTGTTGTGTTGCGAAACTGGAATTAGCAGAGATGTGCCGCTCCCTGTGGGGCCCCTGGCAGACCGGACAGTATTGAGCAAGTTCTCATCTTGTCCACACGAGGCCTGAAGTCTTAGGAATAAAGATGGGTGCCTAGCAATTTCTCTTCAACATACTAGTCATGCTACCTATGGAGATTCTCTGACTCATTTTGAGTTATTCCAGCTATTAAGATACAGAATTATTTTTTGTCCTGGTTTTCTTAAAACCTTTTGTGAACATTTAATTTTCCCAAATGCTTTGGTGGGTTTTTTTCTTTTCATGTTTTAAGTTTGCCAGAGGGCATGTGTGCTCACCTGAGAGAGACAGGGAACGTCAGAAAAAGAGCCCCGTGGGAGATAGGCACTCCACGGTCCCTTCTCTATCTCTGTCTCCTTTCAGAATTTTGGACGCCAGCACATCCCCCAGCGTGTTTTTCGGGTCACCGTTCCAGGACTGGACCTGCACAGTCAGCCGTGCGGAATCTAGTTTCCTTCATCACCACGCCACAGGCCGGCCCCCACATTTGTTTAATTGCCAGGGGATATGTACACTCACCAGAGAGAGTACCCCCCCAATGGGGTGGGCCATGCTGCAGTCCCTTCTCCATGTCTCCATTTTGAAAAGATCTGGGGCACCCACATGCACAACAGCATGATTTTCAAACCACGGAGGCCAGGATTCAGACCATGGTCAGCCATGGGGGAGGTGGCTCCTTTAACTACCTGGCCACAAGACCAGCCCCCAAATTACTGCTTGTTTGTTTCTAGTAGATTAACACAAGAGAGGAAATTAGAATTTCAACTATTTTTTTTTTTTTGAGAAGTTTTTGCTACAGGGTACGTGCGCTCACCAGAAAGAGAGACAGAAAGTGAGAAATCACCCCCCAGGGGGGATGGCCACGCCGCAATTCCCTCTCCTCCATTCTCCTCTCAGGATCTTGGGTGGGGACGCACACGCGCCCAGCATGAGTTTAAGCCTCTGGGTCTGAGACTTGAACTGTGGTTGACTATATGGGAGTCCAGCGACATAGCCATTACACCAACTGCTGGGCCCTCAACTAAATTTGAGAAATCTCGTGTACATTTTAAAGGTGTTGCCTTGCAACATGTTGAGTTACCCAAGATGATTAGAATGAAAACAGGCACTTCTCCACCTGTATCCCCACGTCTCCCTTCTCCCATAGCAGGACACTCCCTGCCATGCACTGCCTGTACCAGGGCCGAGGCTCTCAGCACAAACACTAAGCCACTCATTGTCATACGTTCACATTTCCCTTTCTAACCATCTGAGATATTAACATTCTGGCTAATTATGCTGATTGCTGCCGCCCTAGCTGGACCCAGACTGTGTCATTTCACTCCCACCAGAAGCCCTGCGCAGAGAGGCACTTGGACAGGGACACCCTCCCCCTGGGGCACCACCCTTTGGTGCCTTTCGCCAGCTGTGTGCCCCATGATTGGCTCAGCTTTTGATGTGCAGATAGTACAAGTTGGTCACAAACTTGTCTACAATGGCCCGTTCTGGTTCATGTGAAAATCAACATCCTTTTTTGTGTTCCCGGGTGACAGGATGCTACAATACTATTAGCATTTGCAAAGAGCGTGCTCTGTCCGAGGGTGTAGCGCAGATCGTGTGCTGCTCAGTTTGTGTTTCTCTATTATGTGAAGGACACAAAGAAGCTGAAGGCTGGCAAAGGCCTGTCAAATCTTGTAATGTAGCG